ATTTTGGTGGCGCTGACGACATGCCAACATGCCACGCCTCCTCGTTTTGTGCACTGCTTGCAACTTTGGCGACCTAATGCAATTTTGTTTTGCTTAATTTGATAGGCGTTGTCAGCTGAGCTGCCGTCCCGACAATGTGTACTCCTAACGGGAGCAACAATGGCAACAATAGCAACATGCACACAGCAGCAACACGCAACATGGTGCAGTAGCAACAGCAACAGCAACAGCAGCAACAGCAACCGAGGGTTCGGCTGATTGGATGTGTTTTGAGTGTTTGCCGCAGGACTTGCAAGGATCGGAGGTATAGGGTGTGAAGCGTGATGGGAGATGGGTGATGGGGGAGGGGGTTCTACTAAAGCTATTAACCACTGTGTTCGGGGTGTTGGCCCGGACAGATATTACCAAAATAAACGGTTTTACTGGGTATAGTTGGCCGTTGGATAAGCAAAAACAGTGCAGAGTAATTTATGCAGTTTAGCTTGAATGCACTTACTAAGCTGTCTGTTTTTATTGGAATTCCAACATTTTGATTAAGCACTCTCACCCTCAGTGTTTTCACAGCTTCTAAGTTTCTGCTCCTAAGCGATTTGGTCATTCTAAAATGTATTTTAGACAATGCATTTACTTATGCATCCCTTTTGATTTTCTGGTTAACAATATTAATCATATTACTTTAATTTCTACAATGTAGCTACAATAAACTGTTTCACACGAATAGCGAAATTTTGTTTATTGTCCAATTTTCTTATTACCAACTGGCATACAAACTATTTCGATGGGATTTGTTTCCCCCGAAAAACAAATGTGATACATTGAATGTGCATGCAAACAACACATTTTGGTTGGGTTTGCTGGAGCATGCGGTGCCGAAGTTTGCCATCGAAACATCTTTAAGCGGCGAAACTTTTCTCATAACATGCGAGCATTCCGCACAAAAACAATGGCAGCCATACACGAACACCCACAATGTCGCACCACCCACCATGGCACACATACATATGTATGTATGTACGTACATACGCCCTGCGGCGAAATCTTATCAAACTGACATCATTTTCATTATGTTTTGCACTTGCACAGCTTCGACTAATGTACATGTGTGTGCCAGGCTGTGGCTGAGTCCTTCGAGTTCCGAGTTCTCAGCCCTGAGATGGTAATATGTCCTTCTGCTTCACATTGTATCTGCCACACTTCGAGAAAAAAAGGGTAGGGCCCTTATAATTTTTTTTAAATCAATTAATTTGATCTTATAAGAATCATTTCAATCCCTCTCAACTAACACATTCATATTTTAAATTAAATAGAAGACTAATTTGTTTTATTTAACATATTTTTAAAATAAGGCAGTTGACATTTATTTTTACAAAAATGTCTACATGTTTTATGTAGTCAATTTTTAGTTTAGTTTCATTTTAGTTTTTTGTAAAGCTTTGAGGTAAATTTAAACTTTAAAAAATAATCAATATAAAAAGACTTTTTTTGTGTGTGCACCACTGTGCGCCAAATTATAGGCAATTCGGAATGGAATTTCCGCACACGCGATACGCATTACACACACATGTGTGTCCGCCTTGTGCGTGTGTGCTAATCTGGCCCGCCAATAACTGCAAATTAGATTAGCAACGCCTCGGGGGTGGACCGGGACTCGAACTCGGTGCCCTCCCCCAATCGCCATTTGACCATCCCATCCATTTCGACATGCAGCCAAATGAAATCCAGCAACTTGTCCATCGCGTGTGGCGTTGATAAATCTCAACAAGAAACCGCCAAGGCTGCAAATCGATATGTTTCAAAACCCCACTCAATCCAATCCCCGGATGCCAATATATATATATATATATTACAAGGGGACTGGTCATTTGTTTTGGCATCCCATCGCGAGACGAAACTAATAAAATCCATAAAAACTTTTCCGCTTAGCGAAACCATTAAGATGCCCCCCCCAAAAAGATTGTTATTATTATTTGAGTGTGCCTCACTGTCCTTGGCTCACTTTCACTTTTACTTGTGCTTTTACCTACCCGCACTATAACCTAAGCACACTGAAAATTAACTTAACTACTTACTGAAGAAGGGCAATTGGGGAAAAAGTTTAGGTGCCAACTTGGGCATCGTTTTTACCAGCAAGTATGCGTCATGTTTACGATTTGCCTTAACTTGCGAATATCTGTTTGATTATGTCATGGACCTGAATTGTTTGTTTATTCTAAAAACCTTTACAACTTGAAGAAGTAGTTCGAGAAAAGTCCCTACTAATAAACAGAGTGCTGTTACTTAGAAATTGTTTCCTAACAAGAAATAAATGATACATTTCAAAACAATCAAAAGGGTAAAAAAACCATTAATCAATAGAAACTTTGACGTTATCATTGCGTTGAGTTATCTCCAACTGACTATCCCGCATCGATAACTCACCGTACAGTTTACGGCCAGTTGCTTTTGAATGGCAAAACTTCCGTTGAATGGAACTGCTGACGCCAGCGACGCCGCTGTTCCAATGGACAATGTCCAGTTGCCACACACCATGTACCGTATACCATATCCCATATCCCATATCCCATATCCCATATAGCACTTATTCACCGGACCAGCGGGTGTATGACGCCCAGTCACTTATACGCATCGTTGGCCAGAAGAAAATGCGCAAGAGGGCGGGGGCTATATCGTTGTCCGCTAATCGTAAAATAAATTATTTTCCATGTGTGCACTGCTCGCCTGATTCCGAGTCATAATTCTTGGGTCACTCCCCCACCCAAATGGAGCATAAAAGTTCCAGTTAATTGCATGAGTGAGGAGCGCACTGGGAAAAACAAAGTGGAAAAGAAAACATATTTGAAGTGATTTGATAACATATCTTAAAGGCGACCAATAAAATAAACTATGATTTAATAGTACTTTGCAGTTTAATTGATTTTATGTTTGATGTTCTCTAGCTTTGACATTCTAATTACTGAAAAACTATGATTTTTTACCGTGTATAGAGGATGCGATTTTTAGGAGGATAAACTTTTCCTGCCGCAACTGGCTGGCTTTAATTGTTAGCAGTCGCATTTGGAGCCTGGCCTAATCACTGGCGCCGGATTAGTCAAACTTGCAGCCACTGGACGTGGGTAGTTGGGTGGCTCATTGCCTGGGTGATCCAGTGGTTCGGTGGCTCAGTGGCTCAGTGTCTCGGTGGTTGGGTGGTGTCCAAGTGCTGAAATGTGTAGCGCTTGCCAACGCTGTCAGTCATAATTAACACTCAGCTGCAGCTCCAGCTTCGGGTTCAGTTTTAGCTTTGGAGTTGGATTGGAAGGAAAATAATATGAAACCGAAATGAATGTGAAACAAAAGTTTGCTTCGTTCCAACTGCTCAAAGTTGCTAATCAAGCTTGACAGCTGCTAAGGGGAATGTGAAGATAGTGATTGGATTCTCTATACACATGCACTGGGAAATATACTTAAGATATATATGTTTACAATCTTGATTAGTTTTCAAAGAGATTTTACCCTAATAAAAGTGCATTTGACATCTTGTGGTATCTGGGAAATGATTTTTCTAATAAGTAAAGGATTTTACTTGATAAGGTATAAGTATAAAAGGAATCGTTTTAAAAAGTTAAGCTTTAATCTAAGACGTAACACAAACAAAAGGAAAAGCGAAAAGGATTATACATACTTTCTGAAAAGGAATACTTTATATTTTTTTCGTGACTTTTCTCGCAGTGTATCTCGTACCTGCTGCTGACAGCTTTTGCCTCATCTGATGTGGTGGTGTAATTAAGAATGCTAACGCACTCTGAGATACATAAAGCGGCTGCTGAAAGGAAATTTCGCGTATGCAAAACTCATTAGCCACCCCTCGCGGCCAGATAAATGCGATTCTGCCGTCGTGGAGATTTCAATCGCGTTGCGGTTATTGTGTTATATGCCTTGTTTAACCATCCACTAAAAACGTTCTGCTATCTAAAATTCGCTGCGACACGTGCCAGACACAACAACAATAACAAATTGCACTAACAATGATGCGATGGTCCTCTTCCGGTGCGATGTGCGATGTGCCATGCAAATTTGAAGCGCCTGTCGCGCAGTTCCTTCTTTGTGTCTATGGCGTCATCGGCTCATGCTCTTGGGATCCCCGCATTTGTACTTGATTACCCATACAGCAACGTCCGCATTCGCATCCGCATCCGCATCCGCAGCAGCAACAGCAACAGCAACAGCAGCGGCAGCAGCAACTTTAACTGCAAATCGATATTCAGACAGTCTGGATGTCTGCCCCATGCCAAGGAAATCGTCTTTGGCCTCCGACCTCTGACTAACTGACTGTCTCGACAAAGGAAAGCGAAAAATTCGAAAGTCGGTGGTTGCGACTTAAGGATACTTGCTGCCTACATTCGTTACGACTTACAGACAAACTTCCTAGTCACTGGCAATTATACAAATTTATGTAAAATGAAATCAATACTTAAACTTACTTGCCCGTGAAGTCGGTATTTTAGGTTCCACTTTTCCCCCTTTCATTTTTCATTTTAACTAAACTTTAGATGTTGTTGAAAGGTGTTAATGTTAATTGAAAGGTAAATATATAAAGTAGCTGTCTAGTATACATAAAGATTTGTACATTTTAATTTTTAATAAAACAACAGGAACAAACATTTTCAAGTTCTTTAACTTTTTGTTTCATTTTTAAATGAAGAATTCAAAACCAAACGCACCCTGGGTAAATTGAGGAAGAGAAAGACAATCGAATTGAAATGGAAACCGCAAAAAGGTGAACTGGAAATGTGGGAACTTTTGACGCTGGCAGCAAAAACAAAGTTTGGTTTACCCCAGAGTGGCTTTTTAATTAACATCTGAAGACCATGCTTAGGCAAAACTTTTTGGACTGACAACAAATATTATTGGTACGTAAAATGATGGCCTTAAAATCTCTTTTTAAAAATGTAAATTTGTAAAGGAAACGTGCAACTTGTGGCCATCGTGGCTTTATGTGTCACAGAAGACAAATCATTCTATCGTTTTTCAAGCTGTAGTTTTGAAATCCAGGACTCTGTCCTCCAGCCCATAGCCCAAGGATCCCAGGATGTTGCACAGCAGCTACAACCGGGCACCGCGCCGGAAGCTCATCCCGAATCTGTTCAGCAACATCCTGCAGGTGATCGCCGATGCCGACCATCCACTCACCGAGCCCGAGATCATGGAGGCCGTATCCGATCGACTGGATCGCAGCGACGAGGAGCTGAAGCGCCAGATCACGGTGAGCCTCCAGGATGCCCTAATCTACGGCTACCTGCGGGTGAAGAACTATCGCTACTCGATAGTGCCCAGTCGCCTGGACCCGGACGATCATCCCCAGCATCCGGAGAGCCCGGAGCACCACGATCCGAGCTCCTCCATCGCAGCCACGGCGGAGCATCACCGGGCGCAGGATAGGATCTCGAGTGGAACCAGTGGTCAAGATCGCGATCGTGAGCAGAACCATCAATCCACATCCATCAACCACCAGGAGGAGCTAATGAGCAGGCCAGCGGAAGGGACAATCAAAAGGGTGACTCTCGAGCCCGAAAAGCAAACAAATTGATAAAACAAATTTTAAATGGTGACAAAAAATGAACTTTTAATAAACTTGATTAAAAACAAATTTAGTTTTTATACCAAACTTAATGGAACTATTAGTTAAATGTGCAACAATGCCTATTTACATATTATAGCCCAATATTTTTGGTTCATTTATTTTTTTTGTTTGTTGAATGTTTTTATTTTAAATAATAATTTCAAGTCTTTCCCTGTTAAGTAATATTTTGTAGATGTAAATACAAGAAAATTACTAATTACTAAATCACTAACTATTTTAACCAAAAGGATCTCTCGCTGGTTTTTGTAAATCTGTTGAGGTAAATAAGTTTCGGCTTTAAAGCACACAATAACGAGAGAATCAGTTTCGTGTGGAGGATAATTCCTGCAAGTAATCCTCAATTAGTTGCCCGGCTCCCATGGCAGGCCACTTAACTGACTGAGCGGGGAGTTAAGCCCACAAACGACTGCCAGATGGCCGATGCGGCCGCAAAGTCCACTCTACTCCTTCAAGCTGATCGACGTGCGGCATCGGTGGACGCAATCCCCGGCTCCCGAACGTCTTGTGTGTCAACTGCACTGGTCCTGCACTATCCTTGCCTCCACGACTCCTTGCCAGCAGCTAAACGGGCTAATTGAAATGCAACTCGAAGGCAGAATGCGCAGCCCAATCCAACCCAACATCCCCTCTCCTCTGAGGTGTGATGCTGGCATATAAGAGCCTTGAGCTTGCGGTCATATCAACAAGGATACGTTGACTAAGACGGGCGACCTCAATCGCGTCCTTTGTGTTTGATGTGGTGTCAGCTTCGGGCGCATATTGTCCTCCCCATGACCCACTACATATGTATACAGCATACATGGTCCAGTCGGGTCCGATTAGCGATGGCAAAAGCGTAGTTGGCTTTAATAATGTTACCGTCAATTAAATATGAAGCATATGATGTTACTTTAAGAATCATATTATTTTCAATCTATAATTTTTTGCTGGGTTACATCCTTTATAGATTTAAGAGTGCTTTATATTCCCTATCGATTTCTTTTTCTATCCTGGGCATTGACGTTTTGTTTAAATTAAAAAAAAGTAAAGTAGGGTTTTAAGACCCCTTGAGGGCGTTATATCCGTTGCCCTTAACATCCCTAGTTGAATATATAGAGCTCAGCTTCAGTGAGAGAGGATGTGTGTAAGCGACTGTTTGAGTTCACTGATTGTAGCGACACCAACTGGCGTTTAAAGGCTCCAAACAGGATGTGGCCACGCTCCTCCTTCATCCCAATCCCCCCTCCCCCCGAAGGAGGTGGCGGAAGTCACTGCGCTTGGGGTTTAGTCACGCTTATGTCCTTGGCCATATGTCCCCCCCCTCTCACACTCACACACACGCACACACACACACGTTCTCTTGTGTGATAATACCTGTTTGGACTTGGAGAGCTCGGTGCTTCTATGGGTCGTAGGTTCCCAGCTCCGAGTGCGTTGTTTTCACGCCCGTTGAACGGGGCAAGCGAGCGTGAGGGACGAAGGACATTACAATGATGCAGCATCACCAGCATGAAACCTCCCAAACTCCAACCTCCCATTGGGCAACTCATTTAGTAATTTGTGTGTGCGGTTGTGTGTGCAGTCTGGAGTTTAGTCCAGTCAACTGGCTTTACTCAGCTAAATGAGATTTTGCGGTGTGTAATTTGAAAATTGTGAAATTACCCAACACTGTGGAGAGAAGTGACGTGGCACATTAACACTCGAAACACAAACTGGGTTTCCATTTGAGGGTCGCTCACTAATGTCGGATTATCCCTTCTGAGCCCCCCCCAAACACACCAAATTAGTGCAATCCAATTGCCAGGACCCCCGCAGCAAAAAATAAATAAACCCCTTGAGCGAGATTGGCCATAATTCAAGAACGAAATCCAATTCTTGTGATTTTTCGCACCTCATCACAAAGGCTAAACAAACTCGGTGGCGTCCCCTTTTTCATTTTGTTTATATCGCATAATCTTGGGACCTCCTGTGGCATATTGTTTTACATGCTTTTTCGGGTAAACGGATTCGGCTTGTTTTTGGCCTACGGCAAAGTCATCCTTTTTTGGGTTAAACGCGACCCAACCGAAAAACTCGGATCCCAAAATTGTTATGCCCTTCAGTGGTTGGGGCTCACTTTTTATTTATGTACTGTACATATTGAGGCTGCGTTTTTTTTCACCCCATAAGGGGCATTCGGGTCCCCTTTTTGGAGCCAAAGATTCGGCATTGGTGGCACACTCCAGATTATTCAGCCTTAAACAGTTTAAATTATGCTTCGGTTACCTTTATGATAAATACTGTAAATCACTCAAAAGGATTTGAATATTTATAATATTAAATCCAACTATTTAGCAATATTACAATACTATAAATAAGTTGAAGAATATTTATGTCCATTTTCTTGGCCGCATGTTAAAAAAAAAAAAAAGAAAAAAAACTCAGAAAGCTAGGCCTCAACAGTTAAGCACTGATTTTCGATTTAGCTTCACTTCACTTAGAGCCTTCTATAAATATATACATAACACATACACCCTTCATTCGATCGGCAAAATTTCTCTTTCGGCAGCAAACAAAAAACTGTTGTAAATTAACGTATCTGTACCGTGTTCTTCTGTTGGGTTATTGGTCCTCAGTGTCTAGACTGCCTATTTCCCGGTTTTCCTCCAGACCGAAACCACCGTATTAAGATAGCCGCAGAGAAGCCCAACGAAACCGCTACAAAAAAAAGAAAGAAGAATATTTCCGATAACAATATCGTCGTCAACTACATAAATCTCCGAAAGCCCAAAAATCGAAGCGCCGCCATCCAGAGATTAGCACTCAAAAAGAATTTGAAGAAGTCGAAGAGCGCTTTTGGGAATATACTCGCATATATAATATATAGTATATTAAGTTCCTGGCAGGATAAGAGCAATGGAGGACTTGCACCTTAAACTCGACGATTTGCCGCAGCAGACGCTGGCTGCCCGGCACAGTTTGATTCTGGGCCAGAAACTGGGTGGTGAAATTGGATCCCAACAGTCGCCGCATCACCATCTCAATCACCAGCTCAGTCAGTTGAGCCAGCTCAATCAGTTGAGCCAGTTAAACCAGTTGAGTCAACTGAATCAACTGAGCCAGCTGCAGCGCCAGCTCCACCAACAACTGAATCTCTCGACTGGCCTGAATCGCCTCTCATCGGGCCTGAATCTCAGTTTTGGCCTAAACCACAAGCTGACCGGCACTGTCACCGGCACCGGCGGTGACCGCCATCACCTGCAGCGGCGTCTCTCCCATCAAATGCAAATGCAAATGGGCCTGGGTCTGGATCTCGATCTGGATCTGGCCGTGGATTTGGATCTCAAACTGGAGGGTAGCAGCACGAACAGCACTAGCAGTAGCAACAGCAGCACCAGCACCACGAGCAGCGATCATGGATCTGGAAATGGTCTTGGTGGCCAAAGGTGGACCACCCAAGCCCAAGTTCACGTTGCCCATGACCCTGCCCAGGATAACAATGGTGATTCGCTGAATGTGAAGGGCTGCCTAAAAAGTCACGATGGGGAAATGGAGAAGGATTCCAAGCCTCCAGCCACGGAGAAGCACGGAGAGGACACAGCCAAGCCCTCTGCCTCCATTTTCCTGAAGGCGGCCAATTCCACGCTGAATGCCGAGGCCACTGCCTATACGATGCCTGGTAGTAAACTGGAGACCACCGCTCATCATGGAGGCAGAGGACTCCTGCCGAAACCCTCGCAGATTCCCAGTGAATTTCGGCTGAATGCCGAGGCGCCCGTCTTTAAACCCACTTCGCTGGGCGGTGGCTTGCTGGCTCTACCGGCTTCCGTATCGCAACCTCTACTGCCGGCACCACCACATCTGCATCTGAATGCCCCACTACTTTCCGCCCAGGGAGAAACGCAATGCCCATTTGTGCTGCAGCGTTGTGGCACCAAGCAGAATATCCGGTGGCGCAAACAGCCACTGCCCGACCTTTTCAATGCCGTGCTCTCACTGATGCGGGAACTGTCGCGATCCGTCAGCTATCCGGAGATCATAAACACCCTGGCACTGAGGCTCCAGCGGCCGGAGGTGGAGCTGAAGCGCCATGTGCCGCACACACTCCATGCCGCCGTCAACAATGGCTATTTGAAGAAGGATGGCAATCGGTATACGCTCGTGTCCGAAACGGAGCAGGTGAAGATCATGCTGCGCAACCAGGAGGCCGCCCAGCGCGCCAAGGAGCTGGAGAAGGAGCCATTGTCCTGGCGGAAGCGTTAGTTCCTCAATATCGTATATATGGTATATATACCCAATGGAATCTATTTCGGCTGCGAACTGTGCGCTCGCATCCGTGATATTCAACCTCATCCGCACATCCTGCATCTTGGATACTTTATCCTGCATCCTACATCCACATTTCATACCTTTCGGCTTCATTCCTTTTATACTTGAGCTAGCACAGCACTCGCGGCTGTGAGCCTGTAGTCCTGTGAGTTGCACAACCCAGAGCCCCGAGTCCTGTGCCGCGAAGACGAGCCCTGCAAATAATGGTTTTACTGTACGTGAACTATGTTGCGCGGACCAGTGATCCGTGCGATCCACAATGTGATCCTTGATCCGCGATCCACGGTCCGCAAACGAAGTCACGATGACATATACAAATGTATATATATAATTGTTATATATATATATATAAGCCCAATGGGGCCGGCCTTTGGTCGAGCTGCTGCCTCCAGAGGATGTTTCGTTGCCTGCTGTTCCCTTTTGTGTTCTAACAAACCTACGCACAACCGAGTTGTTCTGGTTCAGCGCTTTATATTTGCAAGCTATTCGGGTAAATAAAATTGTAGTTTTTCATGGATCTCAATTAAAAGATGGGTAGAAAGAGATGTGAAGGGAGCCAAATGGCTGAAACGGACTTAAATACTGATTTATAGTGTCCTTTCCAAACACTGCTGGTATTAAAGTCCTAAAAAAATATGACTTATATTACTTAAATATTAGAAACCATACATTTTGAAAAATATATACTTTTAGCTTTACCATTTATATAGCAACATTTCATCTTTAATTCCACCCATTCATTTGGAGACTTTTTATTTTATTGGCCATCCCCTGATATATCTTTTTAATGACGCAACTTTTCATTCGCATTGAAATTGTGCTATCCAGCCATTAAATTTTTGCATTCAACTTTGTGTTTATCAATTTAAGCATTCATCTTTCCACCCAGTCAGATGAGGCGACCATCCATCTCTCAGTCAGTCAGTCAGTCATTCAGCCATTGAGTCATTCAGTCATTCATTCAGTCGGCGGTTGTTGGGATCTGTTCAGTTAACTAGCTATTGTGTGCAGAGTGGCGAGTATCTAGAGCTCATCATGATTGTTTTGTAATTGGAATGCCACAATGCGAGGCCAGAAGAAGGATGGTTGGTGGTGGCATCTCCCGGAATGCAAGGACAATAACAACAGTACAAGGATGAGAAGATGTGGGAAGGGGGAAGGGAAAGGGGGGCGACGACGAGTGAATGCCAACTCAACTAACAATTTGCTTCAATTATAAAAAGCGTCGCGACAAAGTGGCGCCAAGCTAGTGGGTGGTTGCACTGGGCTCATGGAAGAGGAGATGCTGTTGTTGCCCTGGATGTTGCTGCTGCCGCTGATGAAATGGGTAAACAGTGGACAGGGTGGCCCGGGGGTATGGCCTGGTAATCAGCATGGCGACGCACTGCTCCTTTGAGCCCTGAACAACTGCCCCCTTTTCCAAGAACAGCCCGTCAGTGATGGCAACAGCGGATCGCAAATAGCACCTAAGCTAGCCTTTAAAATAGCTGGCCATATTTAATAATTACTCAATTAAGATTAAAAACACATTTATTATCTGTCCTGGAAATAGAGAAAAATATATCTTAATCTACAGAAGGTTTTATTCAAATCTTGGCTTCTATACTGCTGCAAGTCACCATGGAAACTTAAAAATATATATAGAAGCAACCACCATTGATTATAATTCAACTTAATATGTTATATGATAGTTCAAAACCTTAGATGGGGATTTTACACCCTTTGACCTCAAAAAATAAAAGCAACCAGATGATAACTAAGACCTGAGTTACGTTAATAAGCAGATAAAGAGCTAAAGGCAAGATTACTTTCCAAAACTTAAATAAAGACTTACCGCCAAAGTATAAAGTGCTTAAGAAAAGATTCAAATACTGACTTTAACCAACCAACGAAAATATATATATTCAGCCAGAAAATAGCGAACAAGCCAAGTCCCGCAGAGAAGTGGTGGCCACAGAGTCAACGACTCGGTGACGCAGCTGCTGGCCTCGACCGGAATGAAAGTTGAACTGGAACTGGAGCACCGAGGAGGAGCACCGAGGAGGAGCCTCCTCTGGCGTCAAACTCAAGCCTCTCGCCAGCTTTGTCTGCCGTATATATGGTCATCAACTTATTTGCATGCTGCAACTCTCTGGACCCCGTCATAATTGTATTTTGTTGCCGCCAGTCAGGGATCAGGGGCACTTCGATAAGCCCGGGACCCGTCCAAAGTTTGTTGCATCAACGCCATCGCCATTGCCATTGCCACCGCCGAACCGAACCTGTTGACTCTTTTTCCGACTGGAGGAGCAGACAGAATGCCAGGCCAGGATGCCTGGATGTCCGGATGCTCGGATGCCAGGAAGATGGGGCGACCCAGCTGGGCGATGATTTACTGAGCTCGTGTGATTCATAAATATCTCTTCTCAACGCTGGCTCAGGAATCCCAGTGTCCATTGTCCTTCTGCCCCTGTTGCAAATCAACACTGAGGAAAATATTAAGGACTCCTATCTACAAAAAAGGATAAAATAAAATTCAGAAGAAGATCTATATATACCAATTTTAACTACATCTAATTAATAATAACTCGATAATCTTGTTTTTATCAGAACCCACTACAAATTGTATCTATATATTTAAGAAATTTCAGAACAGCTTTTAACCTAGTCCACAAATGTTGTACCAAATTAATGAAGACAAACCTTGTGTTCGCAGATTGCTTTGGTTTTTGTTAAGTATACATTATATGCTGTCAATTTAAGCTAATTTGTCGCAGTGTAAGGCAAGGACTTCAATTCACCGAGTTTCATTGCTACCGCCAGGATGAGCTGGCTGCCATTTGTCATGGCATTGCATGAAGAGAAGCGTGAACCGAACGCAGAGAAGGCATGTGTGCGAACGGAGCTGAGTTTAAATGTTAATAGTTCACAGGCTGCTTGATCCTCCGGCATTTGAACTGGACTGAGCTGGCCATAATGTTGCGTGTCAACGGAGTGCTGAGCCCGAACTCGGAGCTTCGCACACGCAGGCCAGATTAGCCGATGATGCAGCTCCTGGCTGCAATCTGAAGGTATGTTAGGCGGATTGGGGTCGACGAAAGGTTGGCAGGATGGCAGAGTGGCGGGATGGCAGGGTGTTGTTGAAAGGACAGCGGAAAAGAGGGAGTCCAAGGACCCCAAGGTATCTGCAGGAAGAACAATGCTGCTTCAGACTCCTGTTTTCCTGCCAAGCAATAATGCATTGTAGCGTGGTTACAACCAATGAGTTAAGGAGTAACTAAGGGCTTAGGACAGCATGCAATTTGTTGTGTATTATGCGTAATAGGCAGAGAACAAGATCAGCTTGGGCTTAGAAAAAATACAGAAAATAATAAAATCTAGAAAAAGATAAAAAAGTTTGAAGTACCAGAGCTAAGCTGAAAAAATACAACTAACTAAGGGCTTAGTTAAACAAGGTATAAAGACAAGGCTTGTCATAAAATAGACAACAAAATATTAGTTTTCAGGTTAAATTAACATTAATTAATCAAATGTTAACTATACTATATGAAATCAAATAAGAAATACAAAGAAAATGTTTAAAATGGTATATCAAAGAGCCAAACTTAATTATTAGGACAAAAAAAAGGTTATAGAAAAAAAGGTCGTAATATAAACTAATAAAAATGGGAATAAAGTGGAGTCTCGGACTTCTCTAAATAGGGTCTTATTGCCGAGTTGGAAGCCAGCAACACTTCCTTCCTGAGGAATGACCACCCAATTAACGAACCCCACCCTTGAATACCTATACAATCAGCAATAATAACAATCATTTAATTTCAGGTTAATTGCACACACTTTGGTTTGTGTTGGGCCATAAATTGTGTGCATTCGTTGGCCGTTGCCTGGTGTTTGTGTAATTTATTTGCATATTTCAGTGGAGCGTGGAGTGACAGGCTGGAAATTATGCTACAAAATTCCAGGAATGCCTGCCCCCCAGAAAGTTCTGGGGGTTTGGGAGTAATAGATGTGGGTGGCCCAAGTCAAGACAGCAGCGAGGGCGGATATCCAGCAGGGGCACAGAAAAACTCTGGCCTGCTGCTAAACGCATTTACGTGTCAGAACTAATTTAATGTGGCGCCCCCGGGTGGACTGAAACGAACTGAAATGGAACGGAACGGAGTGAAATGGAAATAGGAGGGAAAGGGACGGGAGAATGGTGCCCCTGGAAAACGAAAACGGAAACGGAAACGCATACGCAGCGAGCCAGTGGCGTCTGACCATATTTTGCTTATTTATTTGCCTTGCAGTAATGCCTGACACCACGCCACACCCCCACCCCCCTCGCACATTTCTCACCTAATAAAATTACAATGGCCACACCACACACCCCCGCAATGCAGGCAGGTCCACCCTCACATGTTGCTCCTGCCCCTTTGTCCTTTTCGCTCCTTTTTGATGTAAATTTAATTTCGGTTTTCACATTTTGAGGTTTTCATAGCCACATGCTGGCATAAGGGTAGTACAGATAGCGAAATTAGTTGGCTATTTGTTATAGCCCGATTTCACATACACATTCTTATGAAACTAGTGGGGTATAAGCTTACATCTTCACCTGCCTGCATTGTTTTACGATATCATTGTTTTATGCTCAAGCAGAGCAAGTGATTGCTTTTTAATTAAACACTCTTTTGTTTTATTAAACTATTCATCCATGCATTAAATCTCAAAATATCAAAAACAAAAGCAATGTTTCAAGCTTACTATTATCTAATTTATAATAAATATAGCAATATGTTCAGAATCACACGTATAACAGTATTAACAAACAATGACATTGTACGCTCATTTTCTCTACGTGTGCTCCGGTATCCTGTGCTCAGAGTCCCCTGTCCCGAGTCCTGAACTCCAAGTGAGTGTCCGTGTCCGGGTCCTGTCCTCCCCACTCCTCACCCCTCGTGTGTCGTATCCCCGGGGATTCGGGGGAGCATATTCAGCTGCCGTAATGCTTCTTTCATCGCCGCTTCCTTCACCCCAACTCCGGCCGCTGTTCTTTTCCTTTGCCCTGTCACTCTGTCATCAGCGTCGCATATTGTTCGCCTTTTGTCCATCGGGGGAAGGGAGTTGGTGAAGTCGCCCCTCGTCCCTCGTCCCTCGTCCCTCGTCCCACGTCCCACGCCCATCGCCCCATATGAATATGTCAACTCGATTCCCGGGCGTGTGCTCCGAATCGAGTTCCTGTTTTTTGCGCACTTTTTTTTTTGTTACCGCTCTTGTTTCCGCTGCTGCATTGTCCACCCGGCTGAACTGTGATTTCAATTAAAGAGCTCGCCCTCCTCCTCGCAAAAACCTATGCAATTTCAATCTGGTTTTCGGGACATGTGCGGGCCCCTAATCGAATAATCCGCCAAACTCCCCCATATCGTGCGGTTAACTTTGTTACCTCGCAACGCATGACAGATAGCACTTGTGAAAATGTCAACTGGATTAGTTGATGTCCAAATTATGGGGTGGGGGGGATAGAGAGTTGAACAGAAACAAAAAATCAAATGAGTTGGCAGGTTCATTGACCAATGCCGGAAGCAATTCGCACACTGGCATCCCTCTGAAGGAAGCTCACTTGGAGGGGCGGCGATGACAAAGGGTGCACAAGACCCAAACAAAGTCTGACACTCGACACAAAGCTTAATTGCAGGGCCCAAAGCCCAAAGCCCGATATCCCAGCCAAATCCTGCAAGTCTGACTTAAGCGACGACTGTGAAAAAGCGCCAAGTGCACTCGAGGTAATTTGATTTAATTGTGCGTGCCTGCCAGCAGCAACAAAAGCACTCAGGCAACTTGCAACAACTTGGCAACTTTTTCTCATATGTTTGTGGTCGCTTCTTTTTATGCCCTAACAAAAGGTATCAAAACTTTTTACGGGTAAACACCAAAATAAAGAAAAATACTTTAGCAAGGTAAAAAAATTCAATAACAACAAATGTAGCGAACAAATACATATATTTGCATTTGTTTACACTACTAATTTTAATATTGTTCTGTATGTCACGTTTTATTTAAGCCTCAAAACAAAACAATCAAGGGAATATTAATAAAAAGCTACATAGTGATCCCTTTTTTTTATTAAAATAAAATATTAAAACGAAGTAGCTTTCATTATATATATTCATTTATCCATTGGTTAGTGCAATACATTTTAAAAGTATTTTAAAAGTCAGTCAGTCAGTGTGACTTCTTTCCTTCTTTCCTTCTTTTCTTTTTTTATGGTTTTTTGCTCATACAAAATTTACAAGTGCCGAGTGTTGGCTTCTTTTCCTGGATAGTGGGTCTCAGGTTAAAGGTTTCAGGAAACCACCTTGCCAACTTTATAGCCTGGCCAAGTCCAAGTCTGAAGCTCTTGAACTCCGCTCAGCCTGCGCCCCTTGAACTTGCAACTTGCAACAGCTTGAAGTTGCAAGTGTTAGTCCGCCTGTTGTTTTTCGCCATGGTCACCATTGTCGGAGTTTATTAACTGCGGCTCTGTGTTTTAATTTTTTTTATAGTTGCCACAGTTTTCTGGGCTCCTGCATAAATCATCAACGCAATGGCCTTTAATGCATAATTTATTTACCGTTTCAGGATGCCCCCAGCTGTCTCTGTCTGCGGTTTCGCCTTTCCTTTTTTTTTTGTCGCTTTTTAGAGCTGAGCAAATTTATGGCTGTCGAGCATTTCCGCTTCCGTTTGCAATTACAAGAGCGGCTAAAATAATAGCAGGCAGTCGCCTCATCAAGAAGTCGGCCGCTTAATCAATTATTCCCATTCGAATGGCGCCCAACAACGGGAAGGGGATCGATATTGTCATGACACGGGACTTTCACTTGACTTGGCTATAAGTATTTGGATCAATGCTGAAAATATGGGCTTGGCTCAGAATCATATGAAAATAAAACTTATATATTACCTGCATTCATCTACCTACTCGCAAAGCTGCTAGTATTTACTATTCTAGTGGATTTTATACTGCCTTGCTATCTTATAAATTCAAATTCACAAATAACCAGAGATTTTTAAACGCTGCCTAACCAAATCCGCATTCCGAAACTTAAAAATGATTTAAAAGCCATGTAGCTTTTGAACAATTCGTTTCGATTGAACGCAAATTGGAATTGCATTTTCATTTCGCGACAATCGCAATTGCTAAACAATTGAAATACTACATATGATTCTGCACATGCACATTTCGATTTGTGCGCACAAATATTCATAATTCATAGTTCATAATGGCATTCGTTCAAAAAGCCTCTGGCCTCGGGAAAAAGTGTGCAACGCAATGAGCTACAAAAAATTAAGCATAACCCCAACACATCATTCTCTTCTCTCCTCCAAAATGTTCACATTACCCTCACCAGGATAATTTTGATTTTTACCGCTTAATTTATGATTTAATTGCACATTTCGCGGTGCAATGCAAATATCAACCAGCGGTTCAGACTCACACCACACCACACCACCGCACTGCAATGCAATGCATTTCATTTATACAACCGCAAATATTTGCCACAAAACGCGTTTGCCACCAGAGGGCCAATCTGGCGTGACAAAATCGCTGCCTCCCTTCGGGGATGCCAAATAGGAATTATTAGTGCACCTGAACGATGGTGCGTGTGCAGCACATCAAGGCAATTAAATCCACACCAAATAATATATATCTACGCTTACTCCCCAAACTACAATTCATCTACCAAATGGGTCTGCAGAAAGGTGACTCAAAACCGCACTTATAGAGCCCAAGAGCTTGATTAGGCGATTAATCCTATTAAATATAATACAAAGTTTAGCTCTCTGTTGAACTGCATTAAACATCCCTTAAAAATCAGAAATTAAAATAACTTTTATGCTATGATAAGGTGTATTTAAGTATTTCGGGTTCGTTCTAATGTTATTTTATTGGGATGTCCGATGCTTGGTTTCTTGGACTCCCATTTAGCGGTGTGTGGAGGATCCCAGAGTGGACATCAGTTCGCTCAGTCGTCGGGAACGCAGTGAGAAGCGGTTCCTCTGGCGTTTCAGGATGCCGTATTCCACGCCATCACGCAGATTGATCTGAATTTGGCGGTAGAACTCGATGTCCCGGCGGCGATAATGGACACCCAAGATGGAGGCCAGCTCGATGTCGCTCATGGGTCGTTGGGTCTCCGCCAGAATGTTGATTATTGTTCGCATCAGGTTGGGGACCAGACGTCGCTGTTGGGGCAAAGTGTGTATCTTATAGGTAACAGGCATGTTTGTTGTGATCACACCGCACACAGAGTGGTTCCCAAAATTTTTTTTTATAAATTTTGTAAAAAAAAATTTTATGGGAAACCAAATGTAAAAGTGTAGAAAAATTTTGTCTATGTTGTTCTGAGTCTAGGCTTGGCAATGAGATCCCCAGCACAACCCCCTTTGACATTCAAGGCCCCGCCAACTTTCTGCCTTGCAAGCATGCTTCCCTGCCGGTGTGCTTTGCCAGCAAACTCACTTCCTCATGGCCAATTAATCAGAAGGCGGCTGTAGCGAGTTGAACTTGAATGACCTCGAGGCGTAAAAACGAAAACTGCGACAACAAAGGCAGCAACCAGCAAATCAACAAAGTGTAGCAAAACACTGCACTCAGAGGAATCTTGTAAGTTAATCTGAATTGGTAAATAATGCCAAGAAAAATGCATTTTAGAAGTCGAAAAACTAATAAGCTTTAGAATGGTATGAATAAAATTCCCAAGTACTTTTTCGTAAATAATGTTTTTTGTCTTTGAGTATGTGCTTTTAATATCCAAGTCTTCTTTTTAAAAGTAAATCCTATTTTTTATTATGTGGAATTACTCTATACGAGTTCTTATGAAAACTTCAGGTAATTTGCGCTTACCTATTTAATTTCTCCAAGTGTAGCCAGGAAGCACAGGCACACTAGCGCAGGGCCCACAAACATCAAGTGACATTCGAGCAGAGACAAAAAGTCATTATCACGGCGACGTCGGGCCGCTCTCATCTCCAGTACAGCATCCATTTCCCCGATCCCGCCATATGTCCTTCGCATTCGCATTCGCCTCATGTGCAGCATATGGAGCACGTGGTTTGGAGTCATCGTCATCGCCATCGCCATCGCCACAGTCGCCGTCGTCTTTGTCGCCATGTTTTTTTGCCTTTTCCGGCATTTTGTTTACGATTCCTTTTTGTTTTTGCGAACGTACCATGTATTCGAATAGTTTAAGGGTATACCATGTTTATAGAGATCTGTGTAACAGCTGTAATAATTGCTTATTATTATTATTATCCCATGAAGCTTACATTTTCTAGAAATAGTTAGAGAAGAACCCAAGCTAATAATAAACTTATCAATGATTGCCCCTTTCTTTTGCGTTTTATATGTTTAAATATATGGATCTGAAGAAACATATAGACTTATAGCTATACAAACGTTTTATTGGGATATAATGTACCTTCATGTCCCATTTAATAAGAATTACTTAGAATTATTTTCCATACCAGGTATCATATAGTCCAAATACGACAGCAACTTTCCTATTTGTTTTATTTTGCGTACCGTTTTCAACGCTCCCCAGCGTACGCGGATTTCCTTTCGAGATGGAGTTGGCAGACGGCAGTTTTCCCTGAATGATTTTCACTTGTTTGTTCTTGTTGTGTCCTCGTTGGCTGCTTTGTTCGGCTGCCCCAAGAGAAAGCCGACCCTGTTTTGTGAACCTATAGCCCGGGTGTATGCCTCCCCCGCATCATTATTCCGTGGCTCCCCTTGCGCCTTCGTCCTTCGTCCTTCTTCCTTCATCATCAGGAGCAGCCGCCAAGTGCAATTGTCATAAAGTGTCATTGGCTGACGTCGCGTCCTCGCGTCCTCGTATCCTTTGTGCACTTGTTGGTGTGGTGAATCAACTTAAATGAGTATCCGCTTTGTAACTACAAGTGCGTGGCTTCGTTTTGTTCCCTTTTAGCCAAGAAAAAGTGAGATAGAAGCCGGGCAATTGGCTTTGTGTGCGATTAAGCTTTGTTTTGGACCCCAGTGCAGGTCTAGGTCTAGGACTTGGATGAAGGATTCTGAGTTCTGAACTCTGTATTCAGGATGTCGGACGAACTACGAACGACGAGGGGCCGATGGATGGCATCCAGTCTCATTTCAGTGAAAGCAATCGAGCGAAAGAAGCCTTTAAATGAAGTCTTAATCTAAGATAGCACAGAACTGGCAGTAAAAGAGTTGCTTTCAACCATTCCAATTCACGACTGCTGTTATTCATTTTATAAAATAACTTATATAGAATAGTGTTTCAAAACGAATTGTACAGAAATATAAACAGTTTCAATTTTTTTTTGTTTAATACAAGAATATATAAGTTATGTTTTAAAGGTAAAGACAATCAATAAATACAGTCTATATTTGCTAATCAGTACCTCCTAAGAGCTTAACTCCCCTCTTTCAACCCCCCCTCGAAATTCAATATTTTGCATCTTTCCCGCAGCGAGCACAACTGTACTTTGTCATCTATGCAAGAGCGTGATACAAGCGAATGGAAAAGTGATTTATGTAGCAATCCTGTCGGATCGCGGGGTTGGGGAAAGGTTGAGTTTCGAGTTCGTAGGTCGAAAGTGGGCGACCGTAGACGAGGCTCCACTGTCCTTAAGCGGCTTACGAAACTGCATGGGGCAAATTATGCTGCATCGCCCCAGGACTGGCATAGCGTTTTGTCTCCACATGGCAGACGGCCAGTCGACAGTCGCTAGTCGCTAGTCGCTAGTCGCTAAAGTTCCACCGATCCGATCCGATTTGGGCCTTCGAATCGGGCACAACGAACTTGGCCAACTGGCACTCGGCCAATGGGAGCTCCTATTGAAAGTGACAGCGACAGGTGGAAAATGTGTGATGTCTGCGCAAAAAAAAAAAGAGGAAAATGTTTTTCGAGAGGAATGGTAGGAACCCAGCCAAACAATGTAAAAGGTAGAACATTTCCGGATTCCCCGTGGGAGGTACCCAAGTATCCGAGGATATTTTTCGCGAATTGAATATGCCCCCGTCCATCCCAGAACGGATACAGAAACAGAGAAACAATTATAAGAGGGGTAATACGGCTCCAAAAACAGCTCGAACACATAAATGCCAGCCAGGAATGATAAATTGACGCGAGCAGGAATGCGAGAATGCCAGCGAGAACGGACTCGCGATGGGATTAAGCTGGCAGATAGAGCTGCCACTAGGGAAATGGAGCTACACTGCGGAAAAAGTGGACCTCTTTACTTTTAGGATGATTGCGATTTACAGAGTACCATTTATAAAATAAAATAAGTTTACCAACACGTCTTAATTAAATTATATAAATAGAAAGTAATAGAAAGATTTTAAAGTTTAGTCATGTAAATTAGTTTATTTTCTTGTTCAGTCTTTAAATTTAATTTTTTAATGCTTAATAAATATTCTAAAAATTATATGCTTTTGTTTTGCCTGTGTAAAACTAGGAACTTGGGTTGGATTTTTTGGGTTTGAGGGCCAGACAATGGACGACATTGAGCAATTGCCGTGCATAAATACTGCGGCACTCACTCACACATATGCGACAACCACCTGTCAGGATGGGCAAAACATAAACAAGCGGCGCAAATCAAAACAAGCAGCGGCGCCTCGAGGAAAACTCCGTCGGGACGAGAGAGATACGGATACATGTTGCCAGGATGTGCGTGAGTCCAAAGACATGCGCATTCCAATATCAACATGTTGCCCACTCCGAAATGTATAGCAACATTTCGAGATGGCCAAAAGGATGGGTAACAAGTCAGGACCGTTGCACTTGCGTGAAAGAAACATTCCGGAGCTAACAATTGGTGGTAATAATCCAGTGAAATCTATAAACTTTAATTATATTCCCACAAATAAAATATAATTTTAACAAGACTTTTCAAAGAGAAAGCATATTAGATATATTTTGGATCCTTTAATATATACAATTATTTTATTTAAAAGATTATCCTGCGTCGAATTTATGAATATTAAAAATCTCTATTTCGTAAACTGCTTTTCTTTTTATTTAAAGTTTTTGTAATCTATCTTATATCATCAAAACGTACTGATATTTAATTAAAGTAAGTCCAAAATAAAAGGAATCCTGTTTCGGATTTAAAGCAAGTCAATTGCAATGTAGGATAGTTACCGCTTGAGCATATAATTACTACGAAATTCCATATTAATGAGTTGCCACTTTAATCCGCGCCGCATGAATGGCTTTGTATTATGCATGGAAAACACAAAAAAGTTTCGCCATCGCGGTCTATATATACATATTTATTTATTCGTTTATATATATATACATATATGCATATCTATGTGATAACTTTTTGTATGTGACCGCTTTCGAGGATGAGTGAAATTGCTGGGCGAAAGGAGTGTTTAATTAGCATATGGCGGCAATTAATTAATTTGCAACGCGGCCAGCATGCCATCAAGAGCCCCAACAACAACCCGGTCCATCCTCTTATGCAATTTTCATATTAAATCAAAGATTATTCTATAATTAAATGTGTGCAAACACACACACACACACAAAAAGCGAGGGGAGAGAGAAAGGGATTGTAGCGAAAATCCTTAAATTCATTGCGTTCAACTGGAGAACATTTGCCACTTACAACTGGATTCAACAAATAAAAATCGAGCATTTCACACTGACGATGAGAGCCATTGAGAACATCGACGATTGGTTAATTGGTGACTCGATGAAAAAGGAAATTAATGAGCGAAATGAGCTGTTTGGCAGTTTTATTTTTCCAGAAATTGGCCACGGGATATATGATTTCACAGGGCTTGCAGTTGCTGTTTGGTTTTTGGCCACCGCAAAGCTGTTGACAGCATAATCGACTTGCACTTAAAACCGGTCAGCGAATGTGTTAATTGAATGACACATTATCGCGGTTCAAAAATGCGATTGCCGCTGAACCAAACCGAATGCCATTTTACTCGATTCGCGTCAAACCGATGAAAGATTTCCACAGAAAACGGGCCATTCGCTTGGAAAAGTCCTTATTAATTGCAAGTGACTTGCAGGATATTTTTTGTCAATGCCCTTTTATTGATAACTAAAGTATTATTTGGCTTTTATTTGGTTTATCTGCTTTTGCAATGGAATAACACCTTTAATCTAGAAATTACAAATAATTAGCTTTAGCTTTTGTAGGATGATTATAATAAACAAAGTTCCAATTTATAGTCTTTAATCTCCACTCACAAGAACATTTTACAAACTCATGAGGAAGTGGAAAAGCTACAGCATTTCAATTTCATTTCAAACACATTTTAAATAGGCTTCCTGCTACTTACATATATCCCCCATCATTATTCATTGCGCCGCTTGATATTCTCTT